AGACATTTTAGAATGACCTTTAAGGGCCATCCTCGTAAAGAGAGTTTTTGCCTGAAAAACGTATCTGACGTTGCTGTATAGAGCCTTAAGATAGGAGGAAAAGACTGGAAAAGATAATGGAACAAAACAGAAACTCCAAGCTATTTCATACAGTTAACTTACTAAACTGAACTGCAGTTAAGGTTGGTCACCCTGGATTGGAATGACACTCCCATTTCCAAAAACAAACCAAAATAAAGCAACTTGCAATAAAACAAAAATTTACAGCAGCAGCACTTTTACAGAAAGGGTAAGTAATATCCTACCCCTCACCTCATAAAAACCTGGACAAAACACAGCAGTACTTACGCCTCAGAGAATTTCATGTCGAGATCTAGATTAGATGCCATGACGGTGAAAGGAGCTGTTGAATCATTCTTTGGAGTCAAGAAGAACTCATACAGCTCATGCGATACACGCGCGCACAAACGGCAAGAAGGAACCTGCATTGCCAAAGGACGCGAGTTATGAACGTCAAATATCAGTGCGTGTAAAGCACCAACAGAAAACCTTGGCGATATGTTCACAAAGATTCGTCTGACGAGCGTTTTCAGGGTGCCGTGTGCTAACAACAGAAGAATGATTTCAGTTGGAATGATCGTGGGCCTGTGAGAAAAAAGTAATTGAATACTACTCTGGGAGAGTTCCCTTTTATTTTGTGTAAGTTATACTTAACTTTTCACGTGGATAAGGTGCCGGATCTTTCGGCTAAAAAACTTAATCATAACTAAAAGTTTAGTTTTGATTCAAACGGGGATTTTCAACTTGCCAGGGCAACTGAGCTACCCATTGCATTGATTGGCGTCGAACTTTAGGTTCAAGGACTTGGTGTCGTATAAAGGAGTTTGAATTTATTTTCTTCAACGAAGCTGCGAAAAAAAAGGGGGAGTTCCTGACTTCATACAAAGTAGACGTAAGGAAATTTAATTTATTACGAAAGTCCAAATCGACCTGAAAATAGTGAATAATAAGAGCCACATCGTCATCATCTACACTATTGAAAAACGACCATGTAAATCGCTGATTACCCAGCTTACTAACACACAGCGACAAGGAGGAAAACCTATTTAAAGTTCAAGGCTTCCTGATGTTCGTAATTTGATAGGTTGTGGAATTGCTGAAATTTGTAAAGGCCGATCTCGGCTCCATTCAAGTGATCAAGGGCAATGTTCTTTATATGTTTTTTTAACATTGGCTTTATCACTATCTATCCATCAAAGTAAAAATTGCCATCATAGAAATATAACAATCTTTGGGTACATCAAAAGTAGACTATATGTTACCAGAGGTTCTCTCAGAATTTTCTTAAGAAATACAATGCTAATTGACCCTGGTTATATGATGACCTTTAAACTGATGAATCGCAAATGAAATCTCCATTCCAAAAATGTTTAAAATTGGTAATTACCCTTTTCGACGCTACGAGTTAAGTTTAATTAAGCTTTGCTAATCCTGTACTGTTGGACTAACTCTTCCAATACTGCCATCGCTTGAGACGGTGTTATTAACTGTGCGCACAGTCGACAATTGAAGATTCACTGAGACCGACCTGAGCCGCCTTAGAAATACACGGCACGTCAGGATACTCTTAAAAGCCTTCCGAAAATTTTTTAACCTCCACGCATACACGAATGGATTCACACCAGAGTTTGCCATCACAAGAACAAACTGGATGTCTCTTATCCAGTGAATAAACTCACAGCCGCAAGTATAGCAAAAGTTAACGATGTAGATACATACACACGAAGGCGCGTAGCACGCTAAAAATAACAAAAGGACAATCAACAGCGTCTTTGTAATCTTCTTTTCTCTTTTCGTGGCTTTTTTCATGACGACGTTATCCTCTGTACTGTCGTGTAAATTATCCCAGTGACGGACTTGATGTCGCAAATACTTGAAAATCTTCACGAACGTGAAAATTAGCACCGCGAAAGTAACCGCAACAGCAGTGCTTGCAAAGACAAA